ACAGATGGATAGACAGACCATAGATCTGTCAGAGACGGCTGATACGTTAGATCTACTAGACAGACGGACATAGCATCGACGAGTTACAGATGGATGGACAGACCATAGATCTGTCAGAGACGGCTGATACCATAGATCTACTAGACAGACGGACATACCATCGACGAGTTACAGATGGATAGACAGACCATAGATCTGTCAGACAGCTGATACCATAGATCTACTACAGACAGATGGACATACCATCGACGAGTTACAGATGGATGGACAGACCATAGATCTGTCAGAGACGGCTGATACCATAGATCTACTAGACAGACGGACATACCATCGACGAGTTACAGATGGATGGACAGACCATAGATCTGTCAGAGACGGCTGATACCATAGATCTACTAGACAGACGGACATACCATCGACGAGTTACAGATGGATAGACAGACCATAGATCTGTCAGACAGCTGATACCATAGATCTACTACAGACAGATGGACATACCATCGACGAGTTACAGATGGATGGACAGACCATAGATCTGTCAGAGACGGCTGATACCATAGATCTACTAGACAGACGGACATACCATCGACTAGTTACAGATGGATAGACAGACCATAGATCTGTCAGACAGCTGATACCATAGATCTACTAGACAGACGGACATACCATCGACTAGTTACAGATGGATGGACAGACCATAGAACTGTCAGAGACGGCTGATACCATAGATCTACTACAGACAGACGGACATACCATCGACTAGTTACAGATGGATAGACATACCATAGATCTGTTACACACAGCCGATACCACAGATATGCTACAGACATACCATAGACGAGTTACAGATGGATGGACAGGATATAGATCTGTCAAAGACGGCCGATAACATAGATCTACTAGACAGACGGACATACCATCGACTAATTACAGATGGATGGACAGACCATAGATCTGTCAGACAGCCGATACCATAGATCTACTCGACAGACGGACATACCATCAAAGAGTTACAGATGAATGGACAGACCATAGATCTGTCAAAGACGGCCGATACCATAGATCTACTAGACAGACGGACATACCATCGACTAGTTACAGATGGATAGACAGACCATAGATCTGTCAGACAGCCGATACCATAGATCTACTAGACAGACGGACATACCATCGACTAGTTACAGATGGATAGACAGACCATAGATCTGTCAGACAGCTGATACCATAGATCTACTAGACAGACGGACATACCATCGACTAGTTACAGATGGATGGACAGACCATAGAACTGTCAGAGACGGCTGATACCATAGATCTACTACAGACAGACGGACATACCATCGACTAGTTACAGATGGATAGACATACCATAGATCTGTTACACACAGCCGATACCACAGATATGCTACAGACATACCATAGACGAGTTACAGATGGATGGACAGACCATAGATCTGTCAAAGACGGCCGATACCATAGATCTACTAGACAGACGGACATACCATCGACTAGTTACAGATGGATAGACAGACCATAGATCTGTCAGACAGCCGATACCATAGATCTACTAGACAGACGGACATACCATCGACTAGTTACAGATGGATGGACAGACCATAGATCTGTCAGAGACGGCTGATACCATAGATCTACTACAGACAGACGGACATACCATCGACTAGTTACAGATGGATAGACATACCATAGATCTGTTACACACAGCCGATACCACAGATATGCTACAGACATACCATAGACGAGTTACAGATGGATGGACAGACCATAGATCTGTCAAAGACGGCCGATACCATAGATCTACTAGACAGACGGACATACCATCGACTAGTTACAGATGGATAGACAGACCATAGATCTGTCAGACAGCTGATACCATAGATCTACTAGACAGACGGACATACCATCGACTAGTTACAGATGGATGGACAGACCATAGAACTGTCAGAGACGGCTGATACCATAGATCTACTACAGACAGACGGACATACCATCGACTAGTTACAGATGGATAGACATACCATAGATCTGTTACACACAGCCGATACCACAGATATGCTACAGACATACCATAGACGAGTTACAGATGGATGGACAGACCATAGATCTGTCAAAGACGGCCGATACCATAGATCTACTAGACAGACGGACATACCATCGACTAGTTACAGATGGATAGACAGACCATAGATCTGTCAGAGACGGCTGATACCATAGATCTACTAGACAGACGGACATACCATCGACTAGTTACAGATGGATAGACAGACCATAGATCTGTCAGACAGCCGATACCATAGATCTACTAGACAGACGGACATACCATCGACTAGTTACAGATGGATAGACAGACCATAGATCTGTCAGACAGCTGATACCATAGATCTACTAGACAGACGGACATACCATCGACTAGTTACAGATGGATGGACAGACCATAGAACTGTCAGAGACGGCTGATACCATAGATCTACTACAGACAGACGGACATACCATCGACTAGTTACAGATGGATAGACAGACCATAGATCTGTCAGACAGCCGATACCATAGATCTACTAGACAGACGGACATACCATCGAAGAGTAACAGATAGACGGACAGACCATAGATCTGTCAAACAGCCGATACCATAGATCTACTAGACACAGGAAATACCATCGACTAGTTACAGATGGATAGACATACCATAGATCTGTCAGAGACGGCTGATACCATAGATCTACTACAGACAGACAGACATACCATCGACGAGTTACAGATGGAGAGACAGACCATAGATCTGTCAGACAGCCGATCCCATAGATCTACTAGACAGAGGGACATACCATCGAAGAGTAACAGATAGACGGACAGACCATAGATCTGTCAACCAGCCGATACCATAGATCTACTAGACACAGGAAATACCATCGACTAGTTACAGATGGATAGACATCCCATAGATCTGTCAGAGACGGCTGATACCATAGATCTACTACAGACAGACGGACATTCCATCGAGGAGTTACAGATGGATGGACAGACCATAGATCTGTCAAAGACGGCCGATACCATAGATCTACTAGACAGAGGGACATACCATCGACGAGTTACAGATGGATAGACAGACCATACATCTGTCAGACAGCCGATACCATAGATCTACTGGACAGACGGACATACCATCGACTAGTTCCAGATGGATAGACAGCCCATAGATCTGTCAGACAGCTGATACTATAGATCTACTACAGACAGACGGACATACCATCGACTAGGTACAGATGGATAGACATACCATAGATCTGTTACACACAGCCGATACCACAGATCTGCTACAGACATACCATAGACGAGTTACAGATGGATGGACAGACCATAGATCTGTCAAAGACGGCCGATTACATAGATCTACTAGACAGACGGACATCCCATCGAAGAGTTACAGATGAATGGACAGACAATAGATCTGTTAGAGACAGCCGATACCATAGATCTACTGGACAGACGGACATACCATCGACTAGGTACAGATGGATAGACATACCATAGATCTGTCAGAGACGGCCGATACGTTAGATCTACAAGACAGACAGACAGACAGACATACCATCGACGAGACACAGATGGATAGACAGACCATAGATCTGTAAGAGACGGCCGATACGTTAGATCTACAACACAGACAGACATACCATCGACGAGTTACAGATGGATGGACAGACCATAGAACTGTCAGAGACGGCTGATACCATAGATCTACTAGACAGACGGACATACCATCGAAGAGTTACAGATGAATGGACAGACCATAGATCTGTTAGAGACAGCCGATACCATAGATCTACTCGACAGACGGACATACCATCGAAGAGTTACAGATGGATGGACAGACCCGATCTGTTACAGACGGATGCACCATAGATCTATTACAGATAGATGGACAGACCATAGATCTGCCAGAGACGGCCGATACCATAGATTTTC